GCAAAGGGGAAACTCTGGGTCGGTTTCGAAATTCAGTGTAATCATCACAGAGCTTGTCAACCCAAACCCCCCGTATTCTTGTGCTGGGAAATAGAGTTTTCAGGTCCATGCGGCGTGCAGACGTTATCAATACAGGCAATAAATCTGTGTCGTGTCTATTTGTTTGCGTTTCTCCCTTGTGATGGGACTTTGTAAGATGAACGTTGAGATGTATAAGGGGACACGGGGTGACCAATAAGGTCTGAATTGGTCTGTAATAAGGTGGGGCACTGATAAGGGGTTGAAAGATCTGCATTACGTGAAAAAAACATGCACGTCTATTCACGATATAATTCATTTCTTTTGGTTGAAAAATAAAGTAAACGTGGAACGTTGGGCCAAAGTTGATTCCAACCACAGGCCAACGTTGGCCCAACGCTGGCCCACATATTGGTGAAGTAAAGAAAAAAAACGACAATAACTATGCGTGTGGGGGCCTTATTTTATTATGCGTTATTTTTATTATTTTATTATTTCCCTTCTACGTGACTTTACCGAAAGAACCAAGAAGATGAATCCCTGCAGTCACGAAAGCTTTAAATCGAAAAATAAAAACACAATAGGCGACGTTTCGGGCGATAGCACAAAACGAAGGGTCGTTGCCCGAAACGTCGCCTGTTACATATTTGTTGTCCCTTATAAAACCACACCACACAGTGTTATTGGCGAATGTGTTGAGTTTGGCTTTCTTTTAAGCTTGGTGGGTGCCTTTTGCCTACGGCAGAATTAAACGACACCACAATGAAATTGCGTAATAAATGCAAGATTTATAGTCACAATGTCACGTTTATTGAGCTACGGTGACAACGGGCAACAGACGACACCCCCATTGTTGTACTGTACCGCTCCCACGTTGATACTTCACCACCCCCCCCCCCCGGCCTTCACCACCCCGCACAGACCAACGTGGTGAAGTATGGTCAAATGAAGAACACCCCCAATGCAAACCGCACGGTGTGCGAAGAGGGTCACCGTCGCGACACGTGCGTGACATTTCGGTTTTCAAAATTCAAGGTTTGTTCAACGACACGACAACCGGCGAAACCGGTAACCGTTTTTGGAATCGGTTACCGGTTTCGAAGGTCAAAGAAACCAATACCGTGCTCGTTTCCAGTGGGAAAATAAGCGATTCACGCCCTCGTCTCTGACGGCGGAAGAGGCACGCGCAGCCCTGCAACTCCTTGCTCTAAGCCACCGCTGGCGGAAAGGGCCTCTCACTAGAAGGAGCTATCGAGGGGCATTTGGCCTACTCTTCCACGCTGACCAATTTACGACTTGGAAGATGTGGAAGTAACCCCACAACTCACCCCCCCCCCCCCTCAACCTACCTACCGATGGACTAAGTGTGGTTGTCCCCCAATGTATACGACTGGGGTGGACAGATGGGGGGACAAGGAGGGGGGCGAAGTGATGGTGGGAAGTTGAACCATTGTCTTTTTAAATCCTTTATATTAAGTTCGCTTGCTTGCTTAGGACCGTGCAAATCTTTCGGTCGTTTTTAACCCACTTCCCGTGATCCAATCGAGCTGACATTTTCCACACAGACTCGTTGTGCGTGACAATTAATGTTCGTGAAAATTTTTTTACAAAATTTTACACTTTTTAGGACAAAAATATTATATTTAATTACCAATTGCTTAATGGTGCAATGCAATCGTCTGACCCATAGGTGGCAGCCATCTCAAGCCAGAGGGCGAGAGGACTCTAGCCGCCACGCATGTAAAGGATTTATAGTGAAAAACTTTGTTTTTACGGGTTAATTTTTTACTTCCGCGCCTGGAGGTCAAATCGAACCGACCACCTCTGGATTGCTGCCAACAGGTCACGCAATTTCGTGTCTCAGTTCACCAAACAAGTTTAGTCAGTAAAATATTTATTGCTTGACATTTCTGTGTGTGTGGTCAACTGCTAACCGGTTTTTTTACCGGTTCTTATGAAGCAGTTACCGGAAATATAAAATAAGTAATGTTTTTTTAAACTTTTTTAAAACACGCTTTTATTAAATGTACTAGTCATGAAATAATTCCACGACTCCAGGAGGTGGCCCCGAAGTTTGCCATCACGTAAGGGACCGTGTCCAATTACAGCCAATGTCAGTTGACGGTGGACAATTAGACCCAAGCCGAAACAGAACATATAAAAAAGAATGTTTAAAATATATTTTTATTTTTTTATGATAGAATATAGTATTGTTATCAGTATGACATAAGTATATCAAGTTTGCAGTCGATACCACATTGGGAAGTGGGTGAAAATTGAGTTACAAGATTTGAGGATACAACAACGACAACAACAGACAGACAGAGTTAAATGAAAGCGCGTAAAAACACTATTTAAGCGACTCTAATTAAACTATTGTAGGTACTTTCTATTGAATTATACGTGTTTAGCTGCTGTAATTGGTTTATTTTGTATTTTAAATATTTAATCTCTTAAAAGTGGCTTCAAACAGTTCGTGTTGATTAGTTCAAAGAAAGCATTTCCACAAATGCCATATTTTGTCACTGTTACGTAAGATGAACAACTGAATTTTGCCTCAAGATTTACAGTACACTGTATCGAGATGCATTTCCTCTCAGTGACAGCACAAAATGCTAATTTATTTGTTTAAGTCTAATGTAATTATGTAACTTACTGAACTAGCATTGATATTGAGTGCAGTATTGGTGTATAATCACAATTTAGCATGATTAGCTAAAGTGTGTCCACGAAATCGAGTGAAGATCTTATAAAACTATTGCACATTCCAAAAATTACGCAACCAGCCACACAGCATATCTAACTAGTTGGCTTGTGGCCACAACTGCGGAACTATACGCTGGTTCCTGCACGTATCTTTCGCCTTAAATCAACAGGGAAAGTTTAACCTCTGTAGGCACTTTTAGATTTGAAGCTTTCGTGACTGCAAGGATTCATACTCTTAGTTCTTTCGGTAAAGTCACGTAGGTAGAAAATGAAATAAAAATTAATAAAAAATAAACAATAAAAATCACGACGTTTCGGAGGCAACACAAGTCTCCGTCATCAGGTGGGACCGTCACAGCCAGATTTGCTGCATCAAGGAGACTTGTGTTGCCTCCGAAACGTCGTGATTTTATTGTTTTATTTTTATTAATTTTTATTTCATTTTTTACCTACGTGACTTTACCGAAATAACTCTGTAGGCACCTTGGCCATTCCCAGAGCCGGCCCAGCCACTAAGCGACCCTTTCAATTGCAAAGGGCCTCGTGGCCAGCAGAGGGCCCCCTAGAGTCACTGCTAGCTAGTGGGTGAAAAAAATCATACATCAAAGGGGCCTCCAACCAAATTTTGCTTAGGGCCCCCAAAGGTCTAGGGCCGGTTCTGGCCATTCCTCTTTAGGCCATGCCTCGTTCCTCTTTAGACCCCAGCCCTTCCTTCTTAGGCCCTGCCCCTTCTTTAGGCCCTGCCCCTGCATCTTGACGATGCCTGCCCCTAACTGGACACAGGGTTCGGCTGCTTTGGGTAGTGGTGCGGGAGGTGGAAGCAGGCAGAGTGCATAGCAGTAGAAGGGTTCGTCAGTTTAACACGTAGCAGGCTTTCGCGACCAATATTATTCATAATCAACGTTTTTGGGTTTAGATCGCGTTATTTATAAATGTGTCGTAACCCTCCACCACCCGACACGGCCAATCAGTAACAAAAAATGTCACGTTGACAAAAGACAAATAGTTCACTGCTTTAGCCCACCGGTGTGTTGAAGCGTGAAACCACAACATTCACAATTTGAGTAGTACGACGATTTCGCTGGTAATTGCATCCAGCAATTACCGGCGTCACGAGGTAACCACCACAATTCCTATTTAGAGCAGCAATATATAATAATCGATTATTGTTGAAATGTAAAAGACTAAAGAAGCCAACAAAAAACACATACCCCCCCACGTAAATGTTCACAAAATATGAAATATGTATTCCTTTGTGAGCCTCTACTACAACTCGGAAAAAAACACCTCCTATAGATCTAATATCATGTATATGTGGATTGTTGGTCATAACCTAGGCTGCCCTACAGTATTTTGAAGTGTTGTTAAATGCCAAGGAATTAAAAAATATGTTGGCCCATCATTATAGTGCTCTAGTGAAGTTACTGTCCATACATTTTAACATTGGCCTCAGACACGGGTACCAGTACATGATAATTTAACTAGTAATAATGAGCCTAACAGTGGAGTGTGCAGCTTGAAGGATTTTTTTTGTACAAAGTTTGTGCTCTTGGGATTCATTATTATGTTGTGTCAAGAGCGGTTTGTCCTAATATCAAAACTGGGCCACGTTATGATAATGTGGAATTTCAACCATTGGATCAACACCGCGGGGAGAAAGTAACTTTTGACTTGTGATCAAGTGAAGATGGCTGAGGTTTCTATACAAGGAGAGATGATGGTTCTGCGTGGGGTGCGGATTCTGTATCAGATGAGATGAGTTGAGGATTCTGTGCTGTACAAGACACGGGTTCTGTGTTAGATGAGACAATGGTTCTGTCGGATTAGGAGAGGGGTTTTATATTGGAAGAAACGAAGGTTTAATATTAGAAAACAATTGTTGTCTATCTGATGAGACATCATTAGAAATGTACCATTTTTTGATAAAACAAGGATTGGTATCAGATGGGATGAGGCTTGTTTGTATTGCTCTATTTTTCTATGGGAGTGAAGTGGTCAAATCTTTCGATTTAAAGCTTTCGTGACTGCAGGGATTCATCTTCTTGGTTCTTTCGGTAAAGTCACGTAGAATGGAAATAATAAAATAATCTGATGGTCAAGAAGACAGACTCTGTCTTCTCGACAGACCTATTATTCACCTGAGGACGGCTGCTTGCGTTGTCGGCCGAAACGTCGTGAGAATTATTTAATAATGTTTTATTTTTATTATTTTATTATTTCCATTCTACGTGACTTTACCGAAAGAACCAAGAAGATGGTCAAATCTTAGCTTGTTAAAGTTTGTATCATATTTTCTTCACCAGGGCCCTGCTGATATGTTCTATTCTATTGCAGGTTTTAAAGCACTCTGAGATGCGATTGCATGCAAGCATTAGATCAATGCTAATTCTATGCGTCCCTATACTGCATTCATCGTAGGAGTTCGCTGGACAACATGTTATATGCCTACAGTTACAGCTAAATGATCCTGATTAACCAGGTTCATTAGCCATACTATCACCACCAAGATCACGATGATGATCTGGCAGAGTAGCACGAGTTAGTCATCAAATCCTGAGTCCCACAAGCCTTCGTAGACAGACTCATCATTGCTACCAGCAGACAGACTCCCATCGCCACCACCACCACCACCACCACGCCACTTCACGCACGCCACTTCCGGTCTCGCTGGGACTCCTCGGCAAAAACCACCACAGCACTGATCCAACGGAGCCCGTCCTTGGAGACACCTTCTGCTCCACGGGATCCCACACAGCTCCAACTCCTGGAGATCATCCCGCAGTTGATGAGCTCGCTTGTGTATCTGTGCACCGCGGCTTTGAGGGCAGTCGAGGAGGTGGAGGAGGTTGTGGTTGTGTTGGTTGCGGCGGTGGTGTTGTTGGCATTGAAGGTCCTGATGAACATCAAGCTGGTCGGTGGGAATTGGGCCTCTCTGGAAGTGGCTCATGCACTGCCCCGTCGGAGGACAGATGCCCGAGAGAAGGCAGCCATCCAAGACTTCCTCCAGCTCGCATATGTTGCCGGGCACACGGAGGGGCTGCTGGACGTGACGCCCAATGTTGTGTCGGTGGTCGATGTTGAGGTGGCTTCTCTCAGGGCCAATGTTTGGCTTCAGCTCACAGCAGCGCCGTGGAAGATGTTGTTGGATCTCTTGTTGCTGTGGCTGCCGTAGCTGCGGCTGTAGCTGCTGCTCTTTTTGCTGCTGCTGCTGCGGCTGCTGACTTTGTTTCTGATCCTGCAGGTGACGCCGCTGTTTCTGCAGGTTTGATGGCCCTCGCTCGGGCAGTGGGGTCTTGCTGGGGGCCACGATGTCTCGCTCCAAGGGCAGCGATTGGGCGTACAGCTCCTGGAAATGCTCCTCAAACTCGACGACCACTTGGCCAGAGAAAATTGTGATCATGTGTGCATTCACGTGACCGTCCATCCACGTGTACCTGGAGGGTGGTCAATGCATTGAGAGGGATTAGGAAAACATAAAAACAAATCAATTTTTTTCCATACCCTACCAGACTTTATTACAATTATTTTATTGGCGTCATGTCATGATATATATATATAAATATATATTTGGGATTGTCACAGAGCAGTGCATCACCCCGTGGAGAGGGAACGCACCCGTAAGTCCCAGTGACCACGTGCTCGCAGTCGATGATCAGGAATCTCTGCTGCTGTCTCCCGCAGAAAAACGAGCCGGATGTGGCGACGAAACGCGGCGTGGCCAGCTTCCGGACGTTCAGGTTCTGCTGATGGGGAAGAGAAAAAAAAATCATCAGATCTGAACACTGGTTCTTTACCTTTATTTTTTAAGAATATATCATCTGATGAGATAAAGAGGCAGGTGAGCGCAGGTATGGAGTGTTTTTTGCAAAGCTGCAGTTGATAATGAAAAGCAACATCGTGTAAGGCCTCAGGAAGAATGTTTTGCAATCACTGTCATTTCTATCGTTTTTCAACTTTAGTTTTTTTTCATGAATGGCCCTCGGGGTACATTCATATGTCTTGTGAGGCCAGCAGCGTGTCACAGTTTTGGTCACGGTTCGGTTCAGCATATTGCGCCAGTGGAAATCCACCCATCCTGTGCCAAGCCATTGGTTAGTGCACTGCGCTACGAACCCGGCAACCCGAGTTCGATTCTCACTCACGGCCAATGCCAGTGACGATTATCTGAACCTGTCCCTGCAGCCTCTCCTAGGTCGACTCAACCTCAAACGAGTAACGTACATCGTGCTATGTGTAAAACATCACCACTAGGGAGACAAAGGCGGCCAGGCTTGATGCTGGCCACCCACCCCCTCCGAGCCTTCATAACTGTCGCTTGCCAACAGCACGTGGCCCCAACAGAACAGACTGTTGGGGCTACACGGGGGGATTCTTTGTCTCTTGCGTGCGACCATGGGTGGGCGCCGTGTCCTCACGTGGCAGTGCAGGGGGTCCACGGCAAGTTGGCGGCAGGCGGCGGAGAAGGCGGGGAAGCCGTGCTCGCCCAGCAGCAGGTAGACGCTGACCCCGCGCCACCGCGCCGCCTCCAGCAGGTCGCACAGCACGTCGAGGTCGCAGAGCCGCGGGCTGACCAGGGCCAGCAGCTGCAGGTCACGGGGTCAGGGTCAGGGGGCCGTCGGGCCAGGAGGGTGTGCGTGAGTGTGCGAGTGGGGAGCGGTGGTGTAGTGGTTAGCGCGCTGCGCTATGAACCTGGCGACACGGGTTTGATTCCAGCTCACGGCCAGCACCTGCAGTGACGATTATCTGAACCGGTCCCGGACCTCCCCTAGGTCGACTCAGCCTCAAATGAGTACCTGGTGCGGTGTGTAAACATCGCCGCTAGGGAGACAAAGGCGGTCGGGCGTGGTGCTGGCCATCCACCCCCTCGTGTACCGTTCCGACCTTCATAGGTGCTCGCTAACAGCAATTGCCCCTAATGTTTGCTCAGGCTATAAAGGGGGACATCCTGTGTGAGTGAGTGGTGGGGAAGATGTATGTGGGTGTGAGTGCACAGCAGAGGTCGCAACCGGGTACCCGATACCCGTACCCTACCCGATACCCGGTTACCCGTACCCGGCCGGGTACGGGTACCTGTTTGCGACCCTGGTGCGGCCGGGTACGGGTACGGGTAGGCCGTGAGTCACTGGTGAGTAGCCGTTTGTCACTTATTTCGGGTAGGGTACGGGTACGGGTAGGGAACGGCTACCCGTACCCAGCTGGGTACGGGTACGGGTACCCATTTGCGACCCTGGTGCGGCCGGGTACAGGTACGGGTAAGGAATCAAAACCCGTTTGCGACCTCTGGTGCACAGGTGTCTAAATGTACAGATACGTGTGTGAGAGTGTCGAAGTATGTGATTACGGTCAAATATCCCCCACGACCCATGAAAGTGCATGTCCACACAGCTTCTAATCACGTGTATAACACACTCCTAATTAAGCCTGACACAGAGCTATTAGGGCCTCAGTGAAAATAACACATGACCTCACCTCTCTAATCCGACACACCACTCACAGGAGGAACCCTTTAATTATCTGCAAAGCGAATTAGACATCTTGTGCCTTTTTATCCCACCATGCATGTAGGATACTGACTTATTATCTTCAATTTAGCAGCCTTTATTTAACCATTGACATTCATAACCTCTTTTGCAAGCCAGACCTGGAATTCCTGTACCGTATATGTGTGTTTGTGCATGTATGTGCGTACAAGTGTATGCGTGTGCTCGTGAAGGACGCTACTGGGCAGTTGGAGGCAGTCGCGCTCCAACAACAACGGAGGGCGGAGGAGCGACGCTCACAACAACGAGCGGAGCGCCAGGTGGATAAAGCACAGCAAGTTGGCACAGTAGGGGGCACAGGTGGTGCATCAGCCAGTCATCTCGGTCAGTCTCAGTCAGTCGACCCGTGGCACCTGCTGGGTCTGCACCGTGACCTCCTGCCAGCGGGCGTTCGACACTTCACGTGGCCTCAATGTGCACATGGCCTGGCACAAGCGTCGTGGTGACGTCACCGCCACTTAGTGGCGAATGGCGGTTGTTGTTGTTATTATGCATTTGCACGTTGTGTGTATGTACAATCATGCGTTTGTGTATATGTGTATATGGCTGTAGATTGAGTGTACAAGTACGTGGCAAAGACACAAACTGTTGGGGCAAGTGCTGTTAGCAAGCGCCTATGAAAGCCAACGCAGCACACGAGGGGTGAGTGGCCAGATACCATACCAGGCCGCCTTTGTCTCTCTAGTGGCAATGTTTACATACTACAACAGGTACATTTCAGTTTGAGTCGACCTAGGGTAGCCCCAGGATCGGTTCAGATAATCATCACTGGTGTTGGCCATGAGTGGGAATCAAACTCGGGTTTGTAGTGAAGTGCTGCTAACTGCTGCACTACCGCTTTCTACAAACAAAGACAAAGATCCCCCACGATAGCCTTGACAGACTGTAGGGGCAAGTGCTGTTAGCGAGCACCTATTAAGGCCGGCACGGCACACGAGGGGGTGGGTGGCCAGCACCACGCCTGGCCGCCTTTGTCTCCCTAGTGGGGATGTTTACACACCGCACTAGGTACTCATTTGATGCCGAGTCGACCTAGGAGAGGCCCAGAACCGGTTCAGATAATCGTCACTGGTGTTGGCCTGTGAGCGGAAATCGAACTTAGGTTACCGGTTTCGTAGCGCAAAAATACTAACCGCTACATTACCGCTCCCAACGGCACACACACACACGTTTACACACACACATACATACACGTTTACACACACACTCACCTTCTGAGCACCACAGATCCCGTCAACGACACACACACATACACGTGTACACACACACTCACATACACGTTTACACACACACGTTTACACACACTCACCTTCTGAGCACCACAGATCCCGTCAACGACACACACGCACATACACGTTTACACACACGCACATACACCTGTACACACACACGTTTACACACACATACACGTTTACACACACACACACGTTTACACACACACACTCACACGTTTACACACACACATACACGTGTACACACACGCACACACACGTTTACACACACACACGTTTACACACACACGTTTACACACACATACACGTGTACACACACGCACACACACGTTTACACACACACACACATACACGTGTACACACACGCACACGTACGTTTACACACACACACACACACACGTTTACACACACACACGTTTACACACACACACACACTCACCTTCTGAGCACCACAAATCCCGTCCCGGACCACGTCTTTGATGGACGGGAGTCCTGATCCAGGCGGGGGCTGAAATCGAACCTGGACCGTGGTGGTATCCACATTAAGGTACCGGGAGCTAGGCCACCCGAGCTCCAGATCAGGACATGGTGCATCCGATTCGAGCGGCCAATAGGTCCCTTCGGAAGCAGTCCCAGTTCTTGACCGGCCCCAACTCGTCTGGCTTGATGTTCTGGATTTCTTGACCTTGTTTTCTGGCTGAATCTCCCGTCTCTTGAGGACGAGTTTTTCCCGTGACTGGGCAGCCATGTGGAGTTGAGTTTACATCCGTAAGCAGAGTGGAAATCGGAACATAATTTCCGATGGGGCATTTAGTCCCAATGGCCCGATTAAGGGGCATTAGTGGATAATTACCAAACGTGTGGAATTCCGTTTGAAAATTCCCGATTGGAGAGTTGAAGAAAAGCTTGTGGGGCTCCGTAGGATGATTTCCGCAAAGGCAAAATTCATCTGGATAATTTCTGATTGGACAATTTCGATAAGGATTGTAATTTGCCGTTGGGAAATGATCAAACGGGCAGAATCCAGGTTGGAATTTTCTCACCGGACAAAAGTCCATCCGAAGGTTCCTGGTCAGAGGATGGATGAGATCAGTACGATACTCTACTGGGCAGTGTCCATGAGGCCAACGTTCCAATGGAAAATTCCTAGCCAGAGGATTCCCTGCTGGATTATCCCTAACAGGATGAGCAACGCCCATGGGAAAAGTCGACATCTTAAAATTCTCCATCGCAAAATTCCCAGCAAGATTATTCCCAAAGGGACGCAGAAAGCCCTCGGGGAAATTATTCAAGCGCCTGGGAGAATTCCCGCCTGGAATAATCCCCTCCAGATTATTTCCCCGTTTTGCAAAATTCGCCGCCAGATGATTGACTGCCGGATAAGTTTCCGTTCTGACGAGCAACTTTGTAGTTGGTGAGAGGATTCGTTTCGGTGTTGAGCTGCCCATTACGATCCCGTGGTGTCGTTGTCTGTGGATCTTCTCTCTTTTCCCCATCTTCCGCCTCGTTTTCCTCCCCCTCCTCCTCTGCTTCCTCCTTCTTCTCCCTAATTGTTGCTGTTGTTGTCGGCGATGTTATTTCGATGTTCTTGGCTCCCGGTCGCCGCACGATGGCCGGGATGAGCGTCATCTCCTCGGGCGACAGGAATCCGATCTCCCGTTCGGCTCGCAGAGCCCCCCAGTAACGCTGCCCCCCTCCCAACATCAGAGCTTCCAGGGCGATGCGCGCCGTCTCGGTGAAAGACGGGGAGCCAATTTCAACGCTGGCACCGGCCCCAACTCCGATCCCAACCCCGCCGGGGCTCGCAGACCGCGGATCACGCAGTAGCATGGCCCGCAGGGCTAGGGGACCAGGAGGGTCTATGCAGCACGGTGGTACTGAGGGATAAGGGGGGCATGGGAGAACTGGGGGATACAAGGGACCCTGAGGGTAGGAGGGGTTCAGGACGGCTGGTGCCAAGGGTTGTGTAGACATGGGTTTAAATTATGATGATTAACTAAGAGATGTGTAGGGAAGAATACTGGTGAAATTGATATCGCTAAATTGCAAACGACAAATGATTTAATGATGAGTGACAGAGTTTACATTTAATTATATGCGACTAATCAGTACTGACGCTTGAACGGATGGTAAACGATGTAACATCGAAATGATAACAATAATCAAATGTTTAATTTATTATCAATGCTTTAAATATTACTTATTTAAAATATGATTTTATGGTATTACCTAATTGATTGTACGCACATATTTAAGACAATAACAGTGGAATTAATAATTTAACAGTAAATCATTATACAATTTGTATCCGTTTTACAATCAAATATTTACATTCATTAAACAAATTCAAATAGAACAAATCGCTCACATGCTTTACCATCACAGTGGCAAAATGTTTTGCGTTATTATTGATAACTTATTAAATTATCCTAGCAACGTACCTAACTGAATCGGCAAAACAAACTGCACGCGAGATTAAAATGTTACATTTAGAATGAAAGTAACTGCTGAAATACGCGTGCAGGTAAGACACGGTGATCTAACACAGACAGGGAACACACAGTGGACTATCACACACGGGTGACACCGTGATCGGTCACACGGCGGTGATAAAGTTAAACTGCAGAGTTTAAAAGTGGTTTATAATACAGGTAGCAAATACACAGGTGATGTATCACACAGGTAGCGAACACACAGTCGTACATAACACAGGCAGGGCACACAGAGGAAAATAACACACAGACAGGGAGCATGCAATGATATATTGCAAACGGCTACCATATAAACAGATAAAATAATGATAACAGAGGCAGCTAACAGCTAATATCAGGCAGCTAACACACAGTACTATAACCACACAGTGATAGCACGCACACGCACACACGGACAGCATGCAATGCTAGATAACGCAGACAGCTAATATCACAGGCAGTTAACACAGTACTATAACCACACAGTGAGAACACGCACACACACACACGGACAGCATGCAATGCTAGATAACGCAGACAGCTAATATCACAGGCAGTTAACACAGTACTATAACCACACAGTGATAGCACGCACACACACACGGACAGCATGCAATGCTAGATAACGCAGACAGCTAATATCACAGGCAGTTAACACACAGTACTATAACCACACAGTGAGAACACGCACACACACACACGGACAGCATGCAATGATAGGTAACGCAGACAGCTAATATCACAGACAGTTAACACACAGTACGATAACCACAGTGATAGCACGCACACACACACGGACAGCATGCAATGCTAGATAACGCAGACAGCTAATATCACAGGCAGTTAACACACAGTACTATAGCCACACAGTGATAGCACACACACACACGGACAGCATGCAATGCTAGATAACGCAGACAGCTAATATCACAGGCAGTTAACAGTCCAGAGGTGGGACAAAGTCATTGTTATGCAAGTCCAAGTCGAGTCTGAAGTCATCAAATTCATGACTCGAGTCTGACTCGAGTCCAAGTCACATGACTCGAGTCCACATCTCAGAGGTGGGACAAAGTCATTGTTGTGCAAGTCCAAGTCGAGTCTGAAGTCATCAAATTCATGACTCGAGTCTGACTCGAGTCCAAGTCACATGACTCGAGTCCACACCTCTGGTTAACACAGTACTATAACCACACAGTGATAGCACGCACACACACACACGGACAGCATGCAATGCTAGATAACGCAGACAGCTAACATCACAGGCAGTTAACACAGTACTATAACCACACACTGATAGCACGCACACACACACACGGACAGCATGCAATGCTAGATAACGCAGACAGCTAACACAGGCAGGGAACACCACGCTGCTAACACGCACAGGCAGGTGAGACACAATGATGGATCTAACCCAGTTGTCGCTGGCAGGCGGGCTGGGTGGATGAATCACACAGGGTGTGGATTGCAGACACAAGCCTTAGGGGCCGGCCCACACACACACCCCCCTAACACTGGAGATTAGGCAGGGAAGCGTTACCTCTCCCCGCCCTGCCAACCCAATCGAATCGGGGTCACGATTTAGATTGAACGCGTCCCGTTGGCGTTGCTTGTTACGTTCTACTTGTGAAGTTTGTCAATGCTAAACGTATACGAGCACATCATTTGCCTGTTAATTTCATACGTTCAAATCGTTTCTTGCTGGTACAATTCGGTCTGCATGTATGGTGAACTTCTTTCGCACCATACGTCGTCAACCGCGTCACTGGGAGGTGTGTGTGTGTGTGTGGTCAGCTTTGACCTTCCGACACTGGGGTACACCATCAACCACATCAACAGATCGATGCTGCACCACACCTCGGAATAACGCGGTTGACTACGTATGGTGCGAAAGAAATTCAACATACACAAGCCACAGTGGTGAGATTGTGGCTATGCAAGCCAAACTGTGGACTATACCGTCAACCCATAGGAGACACAGATATCCATAGACCCATAAGGATAGATTAAGGACAAGCCACATTCGTGTGACGTTAGCTATGCAACACAAACCATGGAACGTATAATCAACCACTGTATTACCTTCAATGGAGGAGGAATAGCACAGCTACGCAAACTCTCTCTCTCCTGAAGCACCTCGCCATGACCAACTTTAGTTGGGTTTGCCGTCCTTCTCCCGCACCTCTTGATTATCACGGTAGGCCACGTACGGTGCGAAAGAAGTTCAACATACCGACACATGCATCATACGCAAAGAATAAAATAGCTCAAGAAACAATTGCAATCGACGGATCGGCGCGTCGCGACATGCTTACAGGGCCAATGAAGATTCTCCCATTCATGGACACATGCAACAAATTGAGCGTCTTAAGGATCGACTCAAAGTTGCAGGTCACGTATCTTGAGTTCCCCGAGTTGCAGGTCACGAATCTTGACTTCCCCGAGTTGCAGGTCACGAATCTTTACTTCCCCAAATTCCGGGTCGCTAATCTTGACTTCCCCAAATTCCAAGCCACGAATCTTGAGTTCTAGGTCACAAGCATGACCCCCCCCCCCCAGGAACACCGCAGGGGAGGGGAGCATTGCCAGGCTGCTAAGTGGCACCAATTACACCAAAGTTGGGGTAATGACCAGCAACGCCATGACGCGTGTGGGAACACGTCGACAGGATATTTACACACCCTCGTCAACACAAGAGACACGTGTCCCCCATATAGCCGCAACAGATTCTTAAAACAAGCGCTGTTAGCGAACACCTAATGAAGGCTAGCACGGCACACGAGGGGGTGGGTGGCCAGCACCATGCCTGGCCGTCTTTGTCTCCCCAGTGGCGATGTTTAAACACTGCACTGGGTACTCGTTTAAGGACGAGTCGACTTAGTGGAGGCCCAGGACCGGTTCATATAATCGTTACTGGTGTTGGCCGTGAGCGGGAATGTAACCCAGATGGCCGGGTTCATAGCGCAGCACGTTACCCACTACACTACCACTCCACACACAAAATACACAACAACCACCACCACTATTCGCCACTAAGTGGCGGTGACGTCACCACGACGCTTGTGCCAGGCCAGGTGCACCTTGAGGCTACGTGAAGTGTCGAACGCCCGCTGGCAGGTCACGGGGCAAACCCAGCAGGTGCCCCGGGTCGACTGACGGAGATGACTGAGATGACTGGCTGATGCACCACCTGTGCCCCCTACTGTGCCAACTTGCTGTGCTTTAGCCACCCGGCGCTCCGCTCGTTGTTGTGAGCTCCTCCACCCTCAGTTGTTATTGGAGGAAGACAAAAGACACACACACCAACGCACACGCAATCCAAACAAAATGTACTGCCTTTCACCACTAAGTGCCAATGATGTCACTACAGAGCTTGTGTCAGGCTAAGTGTATTCTGTGGCTATATGAAGGCTTACTGAGATGATTGTGGCACCTCACCGTTTAGCTTCCTGGCAGTCTGGTTGTAATTCTGAGCGTCGTTCCTCCACCCTCCGTTATTGCTGTAGGGCGGCTACCTCCCAGCTCCTCATCACGATCCTCCATGGCCACTGGGATACACGCCGATGTTGGCAAGTCCACTCAGCTCGACAACCATCCTCCGGCACCGCGTCAGCCCACCTCTATTCTACTGGGTGTTTTAAATAAATGGACCCAATTTCAAAGCGGTATATTTCACGATGGCAACATGTTACAATTACACTAAAAGTTACAAACGGTTTAATGAGTTAGCAAGTTTTACTAACCATTTTTATAAATGCTCTATGTGCCCTCCACCTGCTGTAATTTGTCCCAAACGCCTCTCAGTGTCTTCTCTTCCACTGAAATCACCGCTGCCGTGATTCTGTTTTTGAGGTCATCCAGATTAGTCGCTAACGGTGGCACAAAAACACCATGGTCTTTGACGTCTCCCCACAAGAAAAAGTCGCAGGGTGTGATGATATCTGGGGATCTTGGGGGCCAAGAGTGTAGTGCCAAGTCTTGGGGTCCCGTGCGACCTATTCAACGTTGAGGCGGTGAGTCTTGCGAATGACTGAGGCTCGGGGCTGTTTGTGCGCTGGGAGAGGCATCTCGCGGTAATCATTTGAAACTCTATGCCCCGCCCTCTCTATGCCCCGCCCTCTCTACGCCCCGCCCTCTCTACGCCCCGCCCTTTAAAGTGGTAAGAGTTTCATTCATGGGCGGTTCGCGGTTGCAGAGATATAGCGATTTCAAATCGGGTCCATCTTTTTTAAACACCCTGTATTTACGTGATTGATAGACTAAAATATAGAGCCTCCTTGTACATGTACCTAACTTTTTCTGATGCCTCTTGCCGCCATATTTGCTTTTTCATTTACCGCTGTCAAATACCTCGTTTATTAGTTGTGCTATATTCCTTCAGGAGCCTGAACTGGTTCTGTAACATTGATGTTGTCTTCTAGTTGTTGCTGTGATCATGCACCACGGACCTCCCTTATAAAATAGGTGGGCAACTGGCTAAACGGGATCATCCATGTGTAATGTGAGGATATATCCGGCTCACTGACGTATCACAACTCGTCATGATGATTGGCTCTGCCGGTCCTGGTTTATAGCCAATGGGGGGAAGCCTAGGGGCGTGGCCCTGACGTAATGGAAAGGTGACAGCTGTAAGTAGAGGATTGGTTCTGCTGGCTTTGGCCACAGCCAATGGGGAGATGAGTCAGGGGCATGGTCCCGGGAGCCTACGAGGGAGCCTGGAATATTCCATGGAGGCTAACCAGGATTGGTGGAAACGTACCACGTGACCCGGGTATTAAATAGGGGTGGAGACAAACGACACGGGGTCAGAACGGGAACGAATGGAGGAAGGGGCCACGCGTGAGCGGGGCTCCGGGTTGCCACGTTGCAGTGTGTCTCTCTATCTGTCCCTCTCACGCTGTCTGTCAGCAGCGTGAAGGAAAGCTGTAATGCAAGTTTAATAAAAGACCGGATTCCAGAAGTCGCCTCAACGACCTTTATTACACCCTTGCCATGCCCGTTTATCCCCCTCGACCTGGCCAAACATAAGCTGCTTGGGCATGCCGTGGATGGATGTGGGCTACATGACCCCATGCAGCCAACAACACAACCTCCCACCGTCGCCATGGCCAGAGTTGAGCATGCATCACCCAACACTGGTATGAACAGGTACATTGGTATAAGGGGGAAACCGAGAAAAAAATGATGCACAGCATATATGTTTAAAATTTAATTCAAATATTTTCCATGTCACACAAGGATTGAAAAAACACATTATGTTACACGTGAATAATAAGAATGTTTCGGGATCAAAAGGGCAAAACCCTGCAAAAACTTAGTTATCTACAAAATCCCCATTACACACACCCACAGCGGCTGCACTGGCACCTTGATTAAGCAAGCGAGGAATTCAGTGCATGCGCAATTACCTAAGTTTAAGACGTCGCCACAAACGCAACTAACACCAGCGACATTTCCCTGCCAACATCACACTCAGTAGCGAGAGGTGGGGAGTTACGTGGGGGTGATTATTGTTTCCCAAACACTCAAGTCCCCGCGACCCGCCACACACGGAGCTGCCTTGGCCACCGTTTCCGATCTTCCCTGCCCAAGTACAAACGAGTCGTTACGCACTGCACTTGCCTGATGATTGTTAAACACGTTCAACTCTAGATTGCAGTGCCGATTTGAATTAAGATATAAATCGTGTTTGTCGCAGTCATCATACACCTTTGTTAATCCACTACCGGACGAAGGTCTCCCAACACCATGAAGGTCATTGGGTTGTTTGGCCATACTTCACCACGCTGGTCAGAGTGGCTTGGTGGAAATAGGGAGGCCCAGGATTGGTTCAAATATCGTTTTTCAGTTCGCAGCCGACAATGAAACTTGGATCACTGGGCGGTGCTAATTTAGTCAGTATGAGTCAAACCACTGTACCATGGCATGTGTGTGCCACATGACAACGAGGGCCAATTCAAATTAAGATTAAAAAAACCTTATTAACATGTGTGTGCCACATGACCTAAGAGATTGCCATTTCAAATGAACAGACTGCAAGTGTATCCACGCGTCATTGGCGAGTGGTGGTGCAGTAGTTAGTGCTCTGTGCTACAAACCAGGCGACCCATATTCGATTCCAATGAATTAACAAAAAAAGTGGCGAATATCTGAACCGGTCCCTGGGCCTCTCCTAGGTCAACTCAGCAGTGGTAAAACTAAAGGCAGATGAGGCGAGTGTGGTGTTGGCCACCCACCACTCTTTAATATGTACTCGCTAACAGCATTTGCCTCAGTCTGTTAAAGGCTATGCAGGTCATCTTTGTCCACGTGTCAGAGAACACTCAATATTAAATCGGTATTTACTGTAATCACGTGGGACGTGTTTACTAATTTCAGGCGCTTGCCGTGTGTAACAACTCGTATGGTAAATGTGGCCTCACGTGCCGCAGTGGGTTCCCAGGATCGTAGGTTGGTTTATACACTCTGATGAGGGGTCAGGTTGGATCACTAGCAACGGAGTGGGCGAGTGGTGTTGTTAATTCGCACGGCGCGTAAAAGGTGCCTCGCGAGTTCCACGACACAAGGGGAAACGGCGCTGGGAGGTGGGAGAATACCGGTGACACCGCTGACACACTGGCGTCGACTAGCGACTGCCCATCCAGCTTAATTAGCAAGCGACCGCCGGTCACTTTCATGGGAGGTCTAATGATAAAATAGACTTGCCGTGCACATTCACTTTGCATTTACTTTTATAACTCGAGATATCCCTTGAGAAAGGGGCTCGTAGGCTCACTTAGCTCCGATCAGGTTATGTGATATATATGAAAACGTTTTTACTTTTGATGTTTCAACAGAAAAAACCAAGATAAAAAAAACGATTGCTCAGTTTTTTTGTATAATTCACAAAAAGTAGAGTAACTTCCACGTTTTCAAAACGGAATATTTTTTTGCCCAACAGCGATTGGCGTCAGGCGTTATTGTGATTTACGTAAAGTTTTAAACGGAAGCTTTCACAATATATACATGAAAATCCGTCTGCGATCAGATGAAAATTTTCACATGCTCTGGAATTTAAACGTGCGTTGTCACATTATTGTCCTCAGAGCCGTACGTGATTAAATGGAATTCATCATGTGATTAATGTGCTGTTATTCACAGTAAAATCTTCCTGATCAGAGCAAATCCCTGATGGGATGAAATTGATTGCGATAACTTATTTCGTTTACAGGTTTCCCTCGCTCCATGTGGTAGTAGTAGTAGTAGGAGATGTGCTCCAACAAAATGGGCGCACAAAGCGAAACCGCATGAGACAGCTGCCTGCCGAGTAGCGCACACGGTACACACATGGTACACACAGTACACACACTGTACACACACACGGTACACACGCAGTACACACACAGTGCACACACAGTGCACACACAGTGCACACATACAGCGCACACACACAGCACACAGCACACACACACAGCACACACACAGTACACACACGGTACACACGCAGTGTACACACACAGTACACACGGTACACACGCAGTGTAGACACACAGTACACACGGTACACACGCAGTGTTGCACCGACGTCCGAGCGCATAGCTGCACAGGAGTGAATTCAAACTGCGTATTGTATAGCGAATTTTTGAGTATAAATAGGTTTGGCATACATACGCGAAATCGCACAAACCGAACCCGCACAGAGCGAGGGAAACCTGTACTTTCTAAATCAGAATTATAATATTTATACTCGAGGAATCCGATGAGCTATGCAGCTCTTTTTCACATGTCCAGTAGTCATTGTGATACTGAACGCCGTTTACCTAGTTACAATGCTATTTTCATTCCATTTGCGAGTACGATAAGTTGATATAGTTCTGCTCGTATAATTGCTTATCAACCATATCGATTTTCTCAATTCCTCATCAAGTAAAATCACACTGAGCTGTAACAAAAAAAAGTTAAGTCAGCTTACCCCAGAGATGGTGAGGGGGTGGGGGGGGGGGAGGTATTAAATGAACGGCCATTCGCCTTCATAGAAATATTCTCACGAAAGATAACGGCCTCGTGCAGTCACCGAGATATATTAAATCACGCGCCTGTCATTCGCGTGGAACATCGAATGATGCAGGCTATCGCCATTCACGTTAACCGCGGGATATCGATTTGAACGCCATTCACTCTCAAGAAAAAACCACTCGACTAATAAAGTCGACGGCCGTTCACATTTTTTCGCAGAGGGCTCGTCAATTGATGTGACTGCGATTCACTTTAACAAGCTGCTATTAAATTTCGATTTAAAGCTTTCGTGACTGCAGGGAGAACAGGTCTGTCGAGGAGACAGAGTCTGACTCTGTGTGTGACTGTCTCCTCGACAGACCTGTTCTCCACCTGAGGACAGCTACTTGCGTTGTGGCCGAAACGTCGTGAGAATTATTTAATGTTTTATTTTATTATTTTATTATTTACATTCTACGTGACTTTACCGAAAGAACCAAGAAGATGAAGCTGCTATTAATGAAGTGATACTTGCGCATTTAACTTCATTAGCGCGGTCACACTGCATTTGCTTATTAATTCAAATCGATTGCGGTTAAGTTATCCGCGTAGAATCGCGAGTACAATAATCGAATTGGTTAGGATTCGTACACGGATGCATCGTGATCATTTCCACCGCTGCCCACCAGAGGGCTGCTACATTCACCACGAAAAAAAAAGCAAATACGATTCTCGGGTGAAATCGTAAGGACAAACGTTAAAAAAATTCGTCGAATCGCGGTTGCAGGAACAGACCGACCTCCGTGAAAGTGAAAGGTCAAGTTAACGTCCAGATTTCTATGACAGTGAATGGCGGTGAAAGTGAATGGCATCGTCCACGTTTCATCTCTCGGGTTTGCAGTCCCCCTGGCTCTGAACGAGCGCCAGCAACGCCGCCAGTACCGGCACAGGCTGCAATGGGCAGCGCTGTGAGTTGAGTTCACGAGTTCACGAGGTACACGAACCAGGCATGAAGCATTACACACACACATCCTCTTACAACAGGTACAGTCAACCCTCGATTATCCGGGATCATAAGGGGAGGGAGAGGTATGGCCCAGAAACAAAAACACGAATAATAATTAAAAAACTGTATAAATTGGCTGATAAACCACCCATATTGATCGTTCACCTCGATGTGCCGTCAGTTAATAATTGTTTTTTTACCCTTTTATCTGGCAACAAAACTGTCACCTTTTTTACGAGGAGTCATGTTTGCATAGACCACAATACCTGCAGTCATTTTTTTTTGCATTATGACTGCAGGTATTGTGGTCTATGCAAACATGACTCCTCGTAAAAAAGGTGTCAGTTTTTGTTGGCAGATAAAAGGGTAAAAAAACCAATCATATTTTTTACTGGCAAATGAGGTACCAATGGTGCCGTCAGTTATTATCGTTTCGGAGCGGAACAGGCAGGGCTCAATTCCCATATTCCTGCACCGGGCAACACCACGTCCAGTTTCGCTCTCACGACGGGGCCGCTACAACTCGTCACACACTTTGCCTTTTCATGTTTCACCTGGGAAACATTCGGTGAGAAACGAAGCCTCGCTCGTCATCGGTCGCCGAGTCACGTGCGAGGAGCACGAGGTGCTAATGAGCGCGGTACAACTCCCATCTCCTACAAGTATTGTGTTTAGTTTGTTGTCCTTAACCTCGCACATCTACCGTTGGTTACGTACGGTGCGAAAGAAGTTCAACATACGTACTTACATATATCTTCCATTGCCCCTTCCCCCCCACCCCACCAAAAAGCACGGTTAAGCCTTGTAATCCCAGATGACGCCATGTACCGACAATCGAGCGTTGAGCGTGTAACGCGTGAGCGAGCTATTGCAATCATCCCATGGCAATCATCCCACGACCGACAGCGGTCGAATCTCCGTAGAACACTGGACAATAAACATCAAGCATTATTGCTCTCGATGGAAATTTACATTTCCCTACCACGTGCACACGAGACGCAACGTGGGCTATAAAAGAACGTTATGAATCAGTGCATACGCAGATCACGGACGCAGAGTATGACAAAGGACGTGTAAAAATATTTTTTTTTAAAGCTGGAGAGCACGCAAAGCAGCACGACAGAATGACACACGATGGGAATTACAGCGAGAGCAGCATTAGAGACCACAACGCAAGAGAGACATCGTGTCGACTGGGGGGGGGGAGGGGGTCAGGGCAGGATATGCCGTGGCTTGAATGGATGATGGACAAGACTGGTGATGCAATAGTAGCTAAAGGAGGGAAAACAAATACAGTAAAACCTTGGATTGCGAGCATAATTCGTTCCGGAAACGTGTTTAAAATCCAAAGCACTCGTGTATCAGTTGTGATCACGTGACGCTCGGCAGACAAAGCGTATGCACGTACTACTCGTATTGCAAGACCTCGCTCCGTTTATCAAATTATTATTTATTTAAAAAAATTTGCTCATCTTGCAAAACACTCGCAGACCAAGTGACTCGCAATCCAAGCTTTTACTGTATGTCCGAGAGGATGACCCGCTGTGGAAGGTGGCGCAATGAAGTCGGCTCATGCGTGCACAAGCAGGATGGAATGTAGCGTCAGGACTGCGAGGAAGTTTGTTGGTGTGGGGTAGGGGGAGGCCTGCATCCAGCAGTGGATAGGACAGGCATGGTGATGAAGAAGATTCCAATGACGGAGCGAATCTGGCCGAGTGGCTGGGGCCATCTGAGCCCCGACTTTCATCGTGATTTTACTACGAGCAGCAGCTGGCTTCGAGAGATTCAATTCAAGCATTGGCTCTTGTCTGTCCCTTCTGTACAGTTTCCCTTTTCCTGTGTCCTCAGTTCAGTTTTAATCACTCCATTAGCCTAATTGTGTTAGGTGTGATGTGCCATGAAGAATCACTATTGCCTGAAACGTTGCCGATTGTAAAAAAATGTTCTTTTAAGGCCACACAGTATTATTGACGAACGTGTTGAGCTTCTTTGTAATTCGTAGTATGAGATCGCATGCGTTAAATTTCACGCATCAGATAATACATCCTGACGTATACGATTCGATGCACTTATATCATGAACATAACGATCGGTGTTCATTGGCGAATATACGCATCTTTTACAGGTGTAGGCAGCACCAATGATGTTGCACGAGTGCGGACATCGATTACCTGCGATTTACCCAGAGTAAATGTCAACGTTTCCTCGAGGCTAACGGAACAACTGAGAAGGAACAAACGAAGCTGAACAGAGGCAAGGATCAACACAAATGAGACTGAAAAAAACTGGTCGATTCTAGGATCAAATCACGACCCCAGATGTTTACAAACCCACTCACCTGCGGGAGGGGGGCGTGTGAACGACGGCTACCTGGCCCGGCTGCGATGCATTCGCAAAATCCCTGCCGACCGCCGTTGTGAACCTACAGTGAATCGACGTCAATAGCCGCCGCAAGATATGGCGCTGTCCTGCCCATGCTGCGACAACCCGGAGCCATTTGCTGCCTTCCTTATGCAAGATCCCATAGCCGTTGCCGAGGCGACACCGAACCACCAAGGACCGCTCTTGACAGTCTCATCACCACCACCACCACCACCTAGACGGGCTTTGCTCTTTCCCTTGGTTGCACACCGCTGGGTGCCATTGCAATGCCTGTCGAGGTAGTAACCTGCCCCCCTCTCCCTATCCAGCACCCACGTCCCACGCACCACGACCCATTCTCACAGCCCACTTGCTTATTAGTGTCATCATACTGCATTTAAAATGTACTGTATATTTATTTTAAAAACTAGGAAACGGTCCCCCCCCCCTTCCTAAAGAGGGGGACCGTGGATTGTCTTAATGCTGGTGAATCTACTCAGTATCACCCTACCCTACACCACCCATCCCCCCCCCCCCCCCCCCCCCCCTTCTCGCCCCCCACAAACGTCGTCAAGCAAAAGGGTGTTTCCGCATTGACAGCCACACGAAAACGAGACTGCACACCCGCGGGGGTCTGCGGTAAACCCGACGACTGTTGTAACGTCTCTCTGACGGCGAACTGAGTCAGGAGGGATCGCGGTAAATTTACCGAGCCAGTGCCGAAACCCGGACCCGTCCAGAATGCCACTGTATCCACCACGCGCGCAGCCCCGTCAGTACACGTGTGTACTGCATATTCATATCGAAAACAAACCCTTTCTTAAAAATTCACTATATTATTGCATCACAGACATACGTTGCCATTGGTGGCAGCATTAACACGTTGGCTTGTCACCTCGCCCCTCTCGCCTGCGGCTCTGTGGCCTCCTCCTCTAGTGGCCTGTGAGGACAGACAGACAGACAGACGGGCAGATAAGTTGTCAGATTCTTTAAATAAAATAAAAAAATATTTATCCCATTTTTTTCTACTTGGTGCCATATCATGTCACATGACATGGAAGAATCTGTTCAGAACTCTGGAAGAGCAGTGCAATCATACACGTGCGAGTATGGCTGACGCATTAAAGGTGTGTGTGTGTGTCAGTGTGTGTGTGGCTGCGTGGTGTAGCGGTTAGCGATGCGTTGCGCTACGAACCTGGCGACCCGAGTTAGATTCCCGTTCACGGCCACCAACACTGGTGACAATAAGCCAAACCGGTTCTGGGCATGCCCAAGGTCGACTTAGCCTAAAATGAGCACTGTACCTCGTGCGATGTCTAAACATCGTCACCCGGGAGACAAATGCAGCAGGACGTGATGCTGGGCACCCCACCCCCTTCATGTGGCATGCTGTACCTCATAGGTGCTCGCCAACAGCACTTGCCAAAACGGTTGGTTAAGGCTATGAGGGCGATCGTTGTCTGAGCACGTTAGACTCTCACCTTCTCTCACTCCCTCCCCGTGGGCGCCAGGCAGTGGTGGAGGAAGAGAATCGCTCCCCAACTCCACTTCTCCATCAGCCTCATCCTGAAGCTTGTGCAACTCCTGGTGAAGCTCGGGTTGTCCGCCACCAGCATCACCATCGCCCGAATCAGCTGCACCGCCGCCGTTATCCGCCTCTTTGAGAGGAATGGCGTTCTCGTCGTCATCTCTCTGCTCCTCGTGACGGTGGCTGCCTCCGTCGTACTGCTGCGGCGGATAGTCGGCGCTGCGTTCGTGGTCGCCATCGTTGCCGTGGGCGTCGTTCGACTCTGGCAAGTCCACGCTCTCCGCAGGATGCGTCTCGTCCACTCCACCTTGCTCACTCGACCCGCGATGGTCGGGGACGTCCTCCGCTGGGGCGGCGTCGACCTCATCGTCGTCGTCGTCATCGTCGTCGTCACCGTCACCTTCCGCTTCAACGTTATCCTCCAGCTGCATGGGGATTTCATTCTCGTCAGAGGATGCGGCATGGTGCTCATGCAGTCCGCCGTCCCCATCCTCCGCCTTCTGCTCTTCCTCTGTCCCGACCTCTTCTGCCTCCTCAATGGCCTCGTGTTGCTGCGACACAGCCTCTGCGCTGATGTCAGACTCAAGCTGTCCCTGCAACTCCTCCTCCTCCTGCTGCTGCTGCGACTCATCTGACGGCCGCTGCTGCGCAACATCATCTTCGTGGACCTGCTGAGATTCACCCTCCACCACCTCCTGTGGCGGGGAATGCTCCTCCTCGTCGCTGTCCCCTGGCTGATGGGATGCATCCTGGGCCTGCTCGTCCTCTCCAGGGTGGTGTAAATGCTCGTGGTGCAAGTAGCTGACTTCATCAGGGTGGATGGCAGCGTCGCCCTCGTGGTGTGGGTTGGCCTGTTCATGGTGTGGGTCAATCTCGTGGTGATGGTGGTCACCCTCTTGATGAAGGTGGACCTCCACATGTTGATCCTCATCCCCATGATCATGACCATCCTCTTCATGATGGTCATCTTCTTTGTGAGAGTGGACCTCGTGGAGGTGATCACCCTCAGATTGAAGGTGACCATCCTCGTGGTGCTGCTGTTGGTCGTCTCCATGATGGTGATTCTCATGCTGAGCGTGGAGGTCCTCATGCTGAGCGTGGAGCTCCTCGTGCTGAGCGTGGAGCTCCTCGTGCTGAGCATAGACCTCCTCGTTCTGAGCGTGGAGCTCGTCGTGCTGAGCGTGGAGCTCCTCATTCTGAATGTGGAGCTCCTCAGGCTGAGCATCGACCTCCTCATTCTGAGCGTGGAGCTCCTCATGGTGAATGTGGAGCTCCTCTTGCTGAGCATCGACCTCCTCATGCGGAGCGTGGAGCTCCTCATGGTGAATGTGGAGCTCCTCTTGCTGAGCATCGACCTCCTCATGCGGAGCGTGGAGCTCCTCATGGTGAATGTGGAGCTCCTCTTGCTGAGCATCGACCTCCTCATGCGGAGCGTGGAGCTCCTCAGGCTGGACGTGGAGCTCGTCGTGCTGAGCGTGGAGCTCCTCAGGCTGGGCGTGGAGCTCCTCATGGTGAATGTGGAGCTCCTCATGCACAGCGTCGACCTCCTCTTGGTGCTCATCACCGTCACCACCATCATCATCATCGTCACGATCATCTTCTTGATCAAGGCCATCCTCATGTTGGAGGTCCTCCTCTTTAAGTTGATCATCACCCTCCTGATCACGGCGATCCTCTTGGTGATCGACTTCATGATGAAGGTGGACCTCCTCATCTTGATCATCATCATCATCCTCCTGCTCGGAATCATGCCCGTGGTAACGGTGGTGGTCATGGTCATGGTGGTCGTCACCTTCATCGTGGTCGCCTTCATGGTGGTGGTGGTCGTGATCATCTTCATGGTGGTGGTGGTGATCACCCAGTGGCTGGTGAACGTCTTGGTCTTGTTCATCTTCGTGTTGTTGGTGGTGGTGGTCGCCAGGGTCGGCAGAGGGAGCCTCGGCCTTAGACTCCTCGCTGCCGGTGAACTTGCTCTGGATGGCTGAAATAAAACACGAGCCGTGAAGGACTGAGGTGGCCACCTGGCTCAGTGGCAATGCACCTCCATCGTCTCCGACGTAATAATAGCAATTTGAACCTGCAACGTGGCACCATGCAGCATCGGCTCACTCTCGTAGTGAGAGGCAGAGGATGACTCGGAGGCACCAGGAGGAACCAAGGACAAGTGGGAAGGCAGCCACGTGGTGAGCCGATGCCAATAACTGCCCAAGCTCAGCAGTCCTCGATATATTAAGGTGTTTTCAGCCAATTAATTGTTTACATGTGGAAGGAAACTGGAGTACCCAGAGAAAACCCACGCGTACTACCTTCACCTGGCAAGCCAGGGTATGTGGCACCTCCTCGACACGGGAAGGGAGTTTCGTAGCAATAGTGCAGTGATCTACCAACCCTCGCCCCCTCCACAGTGCTGGATTTTCAGGCCACGTGTGTAGCCAGCGCCGCCCCCGGGAGACATCCACGGAGTTTGAATCGTCTCATTCGTCTCATTAGCCCGAACGTAGCATTTACAAAAAAATCCTAAACAACAGATGCTTGCGTGAGCCTAACCAATTATTTTAAACTCTTTGGGTCTTTTTCGGTCAAGTCACGTAAATAGAAACGATGGATCACGACGTTTCGATCGCAACACAAGCAATCGTCTTCAGGCGAGACGATTGCTTGTGTTGCGATCGGAACGTCGTTATCTATTATTTGCGATTTGACCGAAAGACCCAAAAAGTATTAATTCCCGCAGTCACGAAAGCTTTCAATCAAAATGGTTTAAAACAGCGGATCGATAAACCGGTACATGCCAAATTCCCAACCAGTCACCCTCCCCCCTCTGAATCCGCTCCAGGGCAGCCAGACAAGGGCTACACGAAGTCCGACAAGACAGACAAGTCCACACACCTGCTAGCAGGGTGTGCATGTCCTCCCCATCCACGTCACCGTCTCCGTCCCAGTCCAGCTTGTCTGCAGCAAGGAGGATGGAGCAACACCACAGCACCGAGTCAGTGGTTGGGAGGGTGGATGGGCGATTGGCTGATTCGATGGTTGAGTGAGATAGTGAATGGGTGGATGAATGGTTATTGGAAGGATGAGTTTGTGAGCGAGTAAGTGGTTGAATTAATGGGTGGGAAAGTGAGTAAGTGGGTGATCACATGGATGAGTGAGTGGGTTCGTCAGTTGGTGGATGAGTAGGTGAGTGAGCGCGTGTGTGACCGAATGCATGAGTTAGGGTTGGTGAGTGAGTCAGTGGGTTGGTGGATGAACGAGTGGGTGGGTGATTGGATGGGCGAGTTAATGAGTGTGTTTCGTTAAATATGTAGGTGAGTGAATGGGTATCAGGATGACTATATGAAGGGGGTAGGGTAAGTAGGTGGATGAGTGTGGGTGGTGAGTAAAGTGGTGTTCGTGAGGATGTAGGTAGGTTAGAAGGCAACATTAGGTATAGATTGCTGGGTAGGTAGGTGAGTGGGTCTGGTGGGAACGCATGCCATTAACCTCATCGCAGCCCTTACCTTGGAATATTTTCTTGACATCTTCCACGTCGAAATCCCTGTCCCCGTCCATGTCATAATCGGTGAGCTTTTCTGAAATTTTAAAACACAAGCGTTTAGTTGTCTATGGAAAAGAAAAACAGACGGTGTGTGCGTTTTGTCTATCAGGCACAAATTGGGAGCGGAAGTGTAGCGGTTAGCGCGCTGCGCTAAGAACCCACCAACCCAAGTTCGATTCCCGCTCACGGCCAACACCAATGACAATTATCTGAACTGGTCATAAGTCGACGCAGCCTAAAATGAGTACCTGGTGCAGCGTGTCAACATCACCACTGGGCAGACAAAGGCAGCCGGGCATGGTGGTGCCCACCCACCCCCTCGTGTGCCATGCCAACCTTCATAGGTGCTCACTAACAGCACTTGCCCGAACAGTATGTTAAAGGCTATATGGGGAATCTTTGTCTATGATGTGTGAGTGTGTGAGTTAGTGTGATATTTATCTGTGTGTTTGAGCTTGTTTCTTTTGTCAAGTTAGTACACATCAATGCTCAATGTTCATATGCATCAACGCATATGTCCAAGCATGTGAACACTTGTGTGCTTGTGCATGTGCAGTATAATGTCTGTATTCATGTCTGTGTGTACATGGGTCTGTATGCTTGCGTGTGTATTTATATACGTGTATCAGTAAGTGCCAACAGCCCTTTCCCCAACAGTCTGTTAAACGCTGTACAAGAATGTGTCGTGTGTGTACGTTCATGTGTGCTGTACGCGTGTGTCTGCGTGTAATTATTATAGAGGTAAAATGTAGTCGGGCGGCTCCACGGTAAGCACAAGCGGCTCTCGATTGGAAGGTTGCGAGTTCAACTCCTGGTTGTGGGGGGATAACGAGGCCCCATCGTGTTTACATTCTAAATCAGGTCACGCTGTGCGGCTCAATCACTTCCAACAGACTCTGTAACAGCTGCTCTTCATTGGCTACACAAAATGGAGCACCACTTTATGGGGAAGTGCTATAAATGGACCCCCCCCCCCCCACTATTCATAACTGGCTCAGGGCTGTAAACACAACAGGTGAGCACCGCCTTAATGCTCGATTCAGCGAGATATCACTCACTTCTTTGTTTGATGGCGTGTGCGTGTCTATGTTTGCGACTGTGAGTGCGCGTGCATGTCCGTGCCTGCCACCGTGTCGGTGAGCCCCAGCGTGTAGGCCAGCACCACCGAGAGCACGAGGGCGCCCGTGAGCACGAGGCATGTGACGACGCCACCGCCGCAGCCGCCCCAGCGACTCCGCCGGGAGGCGTTCGGCTTCCGGTTCCGTTGGTTCGTCCGCACGGTGCCAGGCGGCCTCTTCTCCATTTCTGCACACGAAAAATACGCACAGACAAAGGTGCCGCAGATAGCCTCAAACAGACCGCTGGGGGGGGAAAGGCTGTTTCTATAGCCAGCGCCTGCGTAGGCTGGCTGACGAGGTGGGGGGTGGTCTTGTCAGCACCACGTCTAACCGCCTTTGCTTCCCCCACTGAAGATGTTTACACGCTGCACCAGGTACTCACGTGAGGCCGATTCGCCCGATGGGAGTGATGATTATTTTACATCGTGTAGTTCAAAGCAGATTGCATCTCAAAATGCTGACATATTTGTAACGTGTGGTGTTCGTGCTGTGGGGGGGGGGGGGGGGTGGCTGATGTGATGTGAGCATCCTTGGCCGGTGTCATTATTGTGTCATTTGGTCAATCAGGTCACTTGTGCGTGTGCGATGGGGTAGAGTGGCACAGGGAGCGCGAGACTAGCCGTCACCTCTAACAACGCTCGCTCGGGCTGGTTTGGCTTCATCGTGTCGTCAGGCCACCACGGGGGTTTCCAACGAGTAGCGAGGTTTTAGACAGCGAGCAGAAAAAAATGGAAACTGTCCAAATTGTCCCAAAAATAAAAAGAAATTACGGCTGAGCGCACACTCTTCAACGCCCACGCCCTGTCGCATTCCCAAACTCGCACACACAGACACACGTTATCAATGAAGGCTGCCTCAACCTTCGCGAGGCACCATGGCTGTTTGGAATAGCCTTCCGGATATCGGGAAGTCCCCACCATCCACCAAAACAATTTGGATTGCACTGGAGCTTCGCACACACATTCGCGATTTTACCCCACACCCTTGGTTCTGCTCTTTTTGGGTTCTGGAGCACCAGTGTAGTGGTGTAAACTCACACGGAGACGAGATTCTCTGTAAGGGCTATTGCCAATCTAGATTTGAAGTTTTTGTGACTGCAGGGATCCATACTCTTTGGTCACGTAGGTAGAAAATTTAATAAATTAAATCACGACGTTTCGATTGCAACACAAGCAATCATCATCAGTTTATTAACTACTACACTCGCGTACAGAATCACCGGATCACACCAGAGGTAGACACTTCTACACTTGGTCCTTCCCGTGGACCGTCCCTGTACCCGCTTAACTCCTCGGCCTATCCTCACCTAAGCTTCCCACTAATTCCACTCTTTCCTCGGCCTAGGGTCTCGGTGCCGAGCGGCGTGTCGTCCGTTCGGCGTGTCTTCTGTTCCTTCGAGACCTCCGTTCCCTCGGCTCCCCACAATGACCCCGGCCCTCGCCCCGGGGTCCCCATTAAATACCCCTCCCCTCTGGGTAACATGACGTCACCCTATGACGTCATCCAGCTCTTTCCAGCCGATGCCCTCACTTCCCCCCACTACTCCTCTACACCAGTGTGGATGGATCTCTGGGGCCCACCACACCCATTGCAACCAGACCCCAACCACACCCCCCAACTGTCACTCGTCATCACAAGGAGGCGACCTCACGCGCCACCTCAACAATCCACGTGCGCACCTCAACCGCAATTCAGCACTACCTATGCCACACCGCACATTAACGCGAGACCGCCCAGCACTGCCGACCGCAGCTCGGTTCACCACTGCATCTCACCCCTGTCCGTAACACAAAGGGTTCCGGCTTCACAAGTTACGCAGAAAGGTTTCACCGCTTCATCCTTGCGTAGGGAAGCGCTGCGGAGAAAACCTGCTGGTCCTCGTACTTAACCCTACCCCATTCCTGTTCTGCCCTTTGAATTGACCTTGTCCTTGACCTTGATACATTGGCCATACTCACGTACCAACTGTGGTTCCGACGGCCACTCGAACCCAGACAGGGGGTCCCTGTTACTTCAAGGACCCCGATGTACAACAGCATTTTAAATTACACACAGTGTAGTGTAGGAAATTACCCACAGCGTAAAGGAAGGCAGTTCCCAGTCGTTCCCAGCTAAGACACACCTACCGAATTATCAGTTAATCCATTCGTGCTCTCACGAGACATACCCTGAAATATGTGTGCGCGTGTACGTGCATAGGAACCGCTTATAATGTAAGTAAATAATGTGCAGGTGTTACCTTTCGGGCTGTTGAGTCAAACTGCACTCGGCTTTAGTCCCCAATGCTGCTTGTCATGAGCTTCCTCTTACATACAGCCCGGGCCATCCTTAGCCAATGCAAGAGCAGCCGCCCCCCTTAGGTATTACACATGCCTGCCTACATAATTGCTCCAAAGCAAGGGGCCCGAGTACCCAAACGACTTACGCAATTCAAGTAATTCTAGAAATTGCATAGGCGAAGACTCGTGGTAATTTCTCGATTCCAAACGAGAATTTAACGCAAAAAAATTCGCGTATATTCCGTGAGGACTTAGGAGCGGTCGAGGTCACCCCTTAAAAGTTTGCCATAGCTCAGGTCCACGAGCACGCGCGCGCTCTCGCAAACTCAATGAGTGCACAATCGCTAACAATGACTCTCCGCACACAGACACGCATTGTCATAAATAGGCAAAGATCCCCCTCCACGCAGCCTCTTAATAGACTGTTAATAAGCACCGATTAAGGCCAACAGAGCACACGATAAGCCGCACAGATACAAAACACACAAAAAACACATGAAGACATTCCCACGGAAATACAGTGAAAAATTGCATACGTGCAATCTCTCACACTCGCACAAATGAATGCACACGAAATCACATTACTTTAAAATGTATTGCTAACATACAAATACAACTTATCTCAGCCACAGACTGACTTACACACATGAGGTGGTGATGTCATGGCAGCCATGTTGCATAGGGACTTCGCAGTGGCCATGTTGCATGAGGGTCGTCTTTTCCGGGCAGTTGATTGGCTGGTGCAGTGAGGTAATCGCGAGCGACCATTGCCACCCGACCGTTTTTGCACCCTCGTTAGGATGTACGGGAACACACACGTCAATCTCCTGGTGGCTTTTATGCGATTTTTCTGTTCTCAGGCCCCGTAAATCTGCACACTGTTTTCCCGACAACCAGCTGCTCGATTTGAAAAGCGTGCAAAATTGACCAATGGTGAGCAACTGCCTGCTGGGGAGACGATTCATTCCCCCTCCACACGAGCAGGTCAAGCGAATAACCGCTCAGTTTCAACCAATTACGACTGCCGCCGCAAGCATCTCTAACCAATGGGTGTCCAGGCCGTGGGCACAACGCTCAGCTATTTCTGTCATCCAAGCGTGAGCATGGCCAGAGACCTGTCCACACTTCTGAGTAGATATTGCACCATGCCACACTCAGGGGAAGCCACAGACAAATCGGGAATGCAGCCTGAACTGGCCCCAACAATTGTCCAAGCTCTTGTCGTCCTACATTGGGATGTTTATCAAACTCCTTGGGAGGCACAGGATGTTATCGAATAATCGACACTGATCAAACCCAGGTTGCCGAGTTTGTAATGCAGTGCATGCAGAAGCACTACGCTACTGCTCCCCACATGTAATTACACATGGGACACACATGTACACATAATGACAGTACACTCAAGACATCTACACTGTTTACATGTGTAGAGGAGTATTGCGAGTAACCAATGAGGGGGGGCGAGCGGCAGGAGGTGTGAGCGGATTGAGAGTCAAGGATGACGTGACGTCACGGATTACAAGGGGCTTTCCGAAAGCACTTTCGAGAACGTGGGCAGGGCCGAGCTGGGGGGAGGAGCTGCCCAAAGGGGTTCATAAGGGGGACCCCGTGACGGGGGCGAGGTCGCCGTGGGGAGCCAGGGTAAGGAGCGGCTGGAAGAGGGTCTCTCTCTCCTCGTCGCGGAGCGGTGTTGGCTGATCCCCCGCTCCGGGCAGACGAGTGAGAGAGCCAAGGGATAGCCGAGGGTAGGGCCCAAATAGTGTTCAGTGTCCAGGTGAAGGACCGAGAGAGAGTGCACCTACACTGGTATGAGTGTAGGATGCCGAGTGTGAGAGTGGTTTAATAAACGGCAACCTGCATGTCACGGCACCCAGTTTGGAGGGGGGGGGGGGTCATAACAGCCACTGTGAGGCTGGTGTTCAGATCTGGGTCGAGGTGTCTCTTCTCCAAATGCGGTTCAGAATGGCCACGTCAAGCCTACTGAGACACTGCGTGCAACACAGCCAAGATTTGGTGTCTCCAAAAGGTGAATAATGGAAATGTCAGAGCCACTGAGATCCAGGCTCAATGGCTCAGGGACACGTACCGATGTATCAGTTCGGCTAATCTTACGCTCATGACACGTGTGCACGTGTGTAAGAAATGTTAATGGTGTACTTAAATAATGTGCAGCTGTTACCTTCAGGCGAATGCAATGAACAAAACCAGACGGACAAAGACAACGCAAACGAGACAGACGGGGCAAACGAGACCAAACATCCACCCTCGATTCAAACCGTGACTCCAAAATCTGATGATTCATCAAAGCACAATGGTGGAGGATAGGCAGCTGCATTCTTACATGCCTGGCAGCTCAGAATGACCCAGTCTCTCTTTCTCAGGGAGGTTCACAATGGCTGTATCAGAGCCACTGAACCAGCATTGCCAACACGCTGGGTTTCCTCGATAAATTGGCCCACAAAACTGATGACCGCATCATCCGGAATATGCCCAATCTCTTCAGATCTCGGAGGATAAGTAGGTTTGAACCTTTACGAGTGCTCTTCCATGCAAGGCCACTGGTGGGCCCTGATGTGCAGCCCCCTGACAATAAACAAATGTGAAAACGCCCCATTACGCTGTCAAACCCAATGGTTTGAAATGCGTGGCGGTCCTCACACTGATGATGTCTTATCGGCGAAAGTGGCCCCCCTCTGAAGATTAGTGAAGAACAGTGACCTAGACAGCAGAGGTCACAAACGGGTTTTGATTCCTTACCCGTACCCGGCCGCACCAGGGTCGCAAATGGGTACCCGTACCCGGCCGGGTACGGGTTCCCGTTCCCTACCCGTACCCTACCCGAAATGAGCGACAAACGGCTACTCACCAGTGACTCACGGCCTACCCGTACCCGGCAGCACCAGGGTCG